CGCGGTGGCCACCGGTACCGGTAGCAACCGCGGTCGTAGGAAAGGTGTGAAATACGTACTTAACAGTTTTCTTTGTGATTCCATGAGTCTTTGTTTCAAATAGCTGTTTTTAAATCGAGTAGGTTACGAGCATTGTTGGCATGGAAATACTAAGCATATGGTAATATTATCGGCCCACATTTTTTATTAATATAAAAATCCATAAGTCCAATGCTGTATATGAATTGTTGCTGCGTGAAACAATGTTGTATTTTATGCATGTATTTATCACCAATTCCAAGAGTAAAAGTCGTAACTTTCGAAGGTACGTGTATTATGACTCGTCCATACATTTCACTTACGTTTGTTACACTTGAATAAAGTCTACCACATGAAAAGAATGTTATTTACGAAGTTTTAAATAGCCGAGCCTTCCTGATTTGAGCCTCTTGTTGATTTGACAACGGTGGGTATCATTAATGTTTATTCTTTGCCAGTATCGCATTCCAAACAAAAAGTTCAAGATCGGTAAACAAGAAATGGACGAACTAAAATGTGTTTCAAGTGCGACATGATTATTAAAAAAAAACAGAGTTAAGCGGTCAAGTACAATCTATAAATCTAACCTTGCACACATAATCTTGTATTGATGTGTTTTTTAGGGGGTCAAAAACAACGTTGCCTTTCAGTTAACTCTTCGCGTTCATGGTATTTGTGAGAGTTTATCGATTTTTTGAACAAATGTTAAGTAACTGTATCGTTTTGCGTCAAACTGGGTGGCCCGAATTTAAATGTCGGTGCGTGAACTCATTAAGGTTATCGTCCATTGCCGCACGTAATTCAAACACATGGTTATTAGAGTTCAGTCGAAATGTACGTGAATAATGCGATCGAAGTGCGCTGAGAGTTTATTATAGAAAAAGTTAACATTACGCATGATATTGTATGTTATTGTATGGTTAATATTACATATTCACTTTAATAGCCCGGGTTAGTGTCCCAACAATAATAAAAATAACTTAGTTTGCGTAATTATTATAAAAGCAATACATTGCAAAGTTGAAATATTTAGAGCCCGTGCAATACTGTAAACATATTTGCGTTATTAGAAAAGCAGCACACTAAGTAAACGATGTACAGTACCGCCGGATATAATGACAATTTTACGAAATCGACGCGTGGACCAAGAAAGAAAAGAGTTGCTAAGGTAACGCGCCAGTTCAGTGCGTGACTTGGGGTCAAACTTCGGTCAACACACACTTGATGTCAGCATCGCCGCGTAGCAAGTTTCGCAACGTACTTGAAGTTCAATTGTGCCCCAAAATGATGTCGACGATCACTCAATTGTCGCAGCGCATGTTGTACCAAGTCCATGATACACCATGTTTCGACTTTGGCTTGCTTTTCCTTCTTAGTGCATGTTCTTGTTCACGTAAATTCGACCTCTCACCAATGTATTAAAACACTTTGAATTTATACTTATGCGTGATTATATTTGGTCTACGCGAAACATTAATCTTTCTAAACATTTTCTGAGACTATGCATGATATATATTCACAAAATAATGCGATCATATTTTATATTATGTTGATCTCTACGTCTTTCTGGATCGTTTTGTGATTTTATTCCAAGGCTCAGGCAAATAAAATAATGTCAACTATTATAGACTAGTTTTCTAGCTTTTGGCTCAGCTAAACTGGTTTAATTTTTCATTAGAACTTTGTGATCCTTTTAATTTCCCAGTTCTTTGTGTTCATTAATGGTCTTGACAATAAGTGTGAATTGCTGTGCGAGCCCACCGTGAACGACCGCGGTCAGCTGGCGTCATGGAATCTATGCATAAATTTGCATAAAATGCAGTCGACCACCCACCACCACCGCGGTAATGACCGCGGTGCACCGCCTGTTTGATTTCCTACTCTCCCCTTAATACATTTTTTTGTAGTCCTCGTTTTCGAGCTTCGTCCGAACGGGGACTAATAACTGCTGTATACATGTATGTTCACTGTACATCAAGGGACATGGTTTCTCCTTGTAAGAATGCTCTATATTTGATGTTGCAAGTCATACCTACTAACAAAAATTCCTAGGAATATTTTAATGTAGTAAGGTAAACAAATAGAGAGACAACAGTTTTCTCAAATATCTTTTTTCGACACCCACTGCAAAAATGAATTGCCCATGGTAGTTGGCAATAATGTAAACAAATGATGTAACAGTGCACTTGGAGCACTATAGCACTGTAGAAACACATACCTAACAAGTGTTTTATCCGCTTTCTCTGATTCTTCCACCGATGATAACGCCATTGGTGTCCTGACAAGTGTATTCATATTCTTAAAACAAAATATAAAGATTTATTTCATTTCAGCTCATATACAGTATTATACAGTATAGTATCATTCAGACTCATGCGAGTACTGTTGTTTTACCGATATGATGTGGTAGTGAGATAATAAAGCAACTTACAGCATCAGTAACATCACCTTCATCTGTTGTGTTATTAGTTTTACCAACACTAACTCGAACATCATCTAATGTGAGAAACTGAAAAATAAAATTAACAATAACATTTAGCACAAAACCAAACATAACAAGCCATGGATGGGACAGTCCCCGTTAGTTATCAAATTTAAGATATATAGTTTTGTTTATAGTAATATAGCTGGAATATAACCATGTCAGGAAAATGATTTTTTAAACATTAAAACGATTGACATTTGTATCTGATCGTCAAACAAGTACTTGTCCGTATTGTAAAGATATTGCTCTGGAACAGCATTCAAAATCAGCCATTTTGAATACATGTATATATATATAAATATAACATGATGTATGACGAATATATAAAATTTAAATATAATCAGTCAAAGCATTTAAAAGATATGGCTCTAGAAGCCCAATCAATAAAACAAAATAGCCGCCAGTCAGCCATTTTGAATCCAATCTGAAAAATAAAATGACATGCATCAGGAACCTGTAATGTCTAATGTATGTTGTTATAAGTTTAACAAAATCCAACCATAAATGCCAGAAATGCTTGATATTTGATGATTTTTTTAGCACAAAAATAGCCACCATTTGGCCACTTTGAAAAGGATCGTCAAACCAATATATCCTTATATCTATGACATGATGTATAATGAATATTAAAAATTTGAACATAATCAGTCAAAACAAGTCAGACATATGGCACGAGAACCGCCAGTCGGCCATTTTGAATCTAATCTGAAAAACAAAATTATTTGCATTAAGGTCCCATAATGTCTAATGTATATACCAAGTTTGAACAAAATCCATCTGTAAACAGCCGAGAAATGCTTAATTTTTATGATTTTTTTTAGCACAAAAATGGCCGCCATTCGGTCATCTTGAATCAGATCGTGAAACAAATTGACTTGCATATGTATAATATCATGTATGATGTATGTGTGAAGTTTGATTGTGATTGGTCCAGGCATTTCTAAGATACAGGTCCGGATGCATGCACGCACACACGCACGCACACAGACACATGGAGGTCAAAACATAAGTCCCTGTTTTCGGACTGCGTCCGAACGGGGACTAATAAATGATAACAGTTTTTCGCTCCTTGAACTATAAGATATTTGTAACCTCAGAAATGTGTTTAACCAATCAGGCATGGAAAATTATTTCCATTTGGTACAAAATTAACATTTAAAAAGAAGACATGAAATTTTGTAAAATATATTATTCAAAGGATTAAGTGCTTTTCCAGTGTGAAAATAAAACGAATAATATTTAGCTCCCAGGTACAAAACGACTGCAAAAATTGGAAAACAAACAATTTATCCATACCTCATCTTCTTTGCTTCTTATTGATACATCTTCATCTACACCATCCTGGTCCTTAGGTTGGTCTTGCAGTAATTTTCTGAAATGAAAAATTAGGATTCTGTGAGAATACATGTACAAGTCTAAAATTGCCATACATCAAGCTGTTTTATACATTAATTCATAGTTGTTTTGTAACGGCAGTTTTGCAAGATAGCTATCAAAATTGCTATCTAAATAGCAAAACAGCTAACTGACACTAAAGCAACTAAAATACAGAGGCATGGCCAACTGGGAGTGTGCCATCTCTTTGTAGGAGTACATCCCACTCTTCACATTGGGCTAGCCGAAAATATCACTTTAAAGTTTATATTTATCAAACAAAAGTAATTCTCATATTCATATGCTATAAATGATATGCCAGTCTAGACTCTCTGTAGAGAGCAAAACACATGTGTTTCATGCCATTTCTCAGACAAGTTAATATTAAGATATATGCATTTGGTGTTCGCATTTACAAAATTTTTAGCCATAATTTGGTTTATAGTGAAATATCAAAAAAGGAAGGCATGCTACATTTGGTGTAGCCATGGTTCTGTGGCACTATGGTCCAGAATTAGGAGAGGGTTCTCCGAACCCGCCTATTCACATGGTTCATACCCACCATAGACTCCGGTCAGTCAAAATGACTATTTTGAACTGTAGGCATTAATCAGCGATTCTGCCGGTGACGGAGAGATAGAATCTAGGTCAGGGGAAGCCCCATGACCTCAAGATTCTTTTACCTCTTAAGTCACAAACCCACGTGACCGAGGCCACATGGCAGCGGCATAGGTAGCCGTCAATCACTCTGGTTCCTTTCTCTCCGCCTCGAGGACTTAGACCAACGGTCATTTTGACTGACCGGAGTCTATGATGGGTATGAACTATGTGAATAGGCGGGTTCAGAGAACACTCGCCTAAATTCACTACGTTCAATTACCCACCATAGACTCCGGTCAGTCAAAATGACTATTTTAAACTGTAGGCAGAGTCAGACACCGATAGGTGGCGGGTTTTTCCAAGCAAACAGAAAAAAAAGGAGAATGATGAAAGACTTTTCCCCAGTCCGGAATGAAAACAAACTCAAAAACCTAAGTTAAGACCCAAGAAGGGTGGTGTCTTACCTTGCCTGTGCTGTCACCGAAGCAAGAAGCCAATGCTGCTGTGGTGACAGTGTTCGGTGTGCCCGAGAAAGCTAGACCCAAGCCGAGTTCAGGGGTGGTAAGCTTGGACCGAAACAGTTCGCATGAGGGCGTAAGGTCGACAGAAACGAAACCTGGGAGCTTCCAGGAAGTGCTAGTGGTACAGACAATCTGCCTGCAAAAATGCCGAGACTGACTTATCGCCTATGCACAGAGGCCCCTGTGGTTGTTCGGGCTGGGTCAGCAAACAAGGCCTGACCCGCTACGACAGGGCCTAACCTGAAGAGACCCTGCTCAATAGATTGGGTGTCTCTTAGGTAGTAGTTGATGAAGACGTTCTGCGTTCTCCAGAAGCCTGCCCTCAGAATGTGTTGGGGGAGGAGGCTGACGCTAGCGCTAGTGAGTTAGCAATCGCACGGACCTCATGTGCTCGTACTTGGTGTCTCTGCAAGGTCTGTGTTGAGGAGGATAGTGTATTATAGACCTCCAGTACAGTCGCAGTAATCCACCTGGAGATGGAAGTCGGGGAAGCCGGCTTATCCTGTTTGCCAGGGTCGTAACACAAAAACATGTGTTTGGTTCCCTGTCTGGAAAACCTGGTACGGTTCTTGCGGCAACTCAGCGCTCGGACCAGGCAGAGAAACAATTCCTCCTGATCCTCCGGGCCGACAATATTTGCCAGCCGGGGGATGACGATCGGGTGAGGATTGTGTCCTGGGATTTGGTTCTAGGCGAGAAACCCGATTCGTGTCTTTAGCACAACTTGATTGTCTATGACAGCGGTACATCATCCGAGAAGGACAATGCCCCCCAGATCTGGCCGACGCCTACCTGAGGCGAGGACCAGTAGGAAGACTATTTTCCACGTCAACAATTTGAGTGGTGCTTGATCGGAGAGGCTCAAAAGGTGGTCTGCTTAGAGCGGACAACACAGCCGACAAGTCCCAGTTGGGTGGTTCTCTTGTATGGGGTCTCAGCATCTGGAAAGCAGTAAATAGTCTCTTAATAATAGGACAATCAGTTAGTCTTGTTTCCGTACGTTTGAATGGTGGGGCACAAGGCCGACCTGTAGGACAAACCCACTTTGTCAAACAGGTGGACGAAAGAGCCTGCTACCTGGCCAATAGAGGGATGGTATCGATCAATCTCCCTTCCGCTACACTAACCAGTGTATGCTCGCTGCCTAGAAATGTAGGCTGCATTGGTGGAATCCCTGTTCACCCTGGCCCGCTCAGATAAAGCTTTCGTATGTGCGGGTAATGAGAGCCTCTATGCGGGTAAGTGATACCCACTGGGCTCGTGGTAGTACGCCGTCTGGTTGGGACGGCATGTTCGGTAAGTCCGGAAGCACTGCTGGTGTTTCGTGGCCCTGTTTGGCCAATTGGGTGCGACCAATGATAATATGCAGATGTGCACCTGTTGAAGTCTTCCCCGGTGCCCGGTGGAAGGAAGGAAAGGCGTACACAACTAAGTGGGTCCACGGGGTAGCAAAGCGACCCTGGCCCAGGCTCCTGGAGTCAGCAGGAGTGTTACGTACGTCGGGAGCTTGGTGTTCCAGGGTGCGGCAAACGGTCTAACCTTTGAGCGTCCAGAGCTGAAACAGCCTGGAGGCTACCCACTGGGGTATCAGCCACTCCGTGTCCTGGAGACGGAGTCGCCGTAAAAGGGCGTCGCCAGACTGTTCCTCACCCCAGGAAGGTGGTGTGCGGTTAGCTCCATATTGTATTCCAGGCACCAAAGGAGGATTTTTTCTCCGCTAGGACTGACAACAATGGGGAATGCGTCGCCCCCTCCTTCTTGAAGGAGACCACCGCTGCATTGTCTGTGCGGAGCAGGACTCTGTGGCCTCGAACTATGGGTAGAAAGCGTGGTAGTGCTAAGTACACTGCTCACAGTTTGAGCCGGTTGATATGGTGGTCCCGAAACTTATGCGGGAGTCATATCCTTGGGCTTGCTCGTCCAATAGATGCACTCCCCAACCCTGGGGGGAGGCATCTGTTACCAGAGTCATACCTGCGGCGAGCGGGTCCAAAGAGGCACCTCTGCCCGAGGTTGGCCAGTGACGACCACCAGGGCAGGGCTTCCTTCACTTGGTCCAATATCGAAACCTGCCTATCTAGTTCACATAGGAGAGCTCGGCGTTATAACAAGCGTTATACCGGGCGGCTGCGTAGTTCCGCCTGGGGAACGACCCTTCAAAATGAGGTCATCATTCCGATGATTCGCATTAGTTCCCGGAGGGACACTGAGGGAACGCTGACTAGGCATTCGGCTAGGCTGCTTAGCGCTAAGCAATACGCTTGAAATAGCTAAGCCAAGCAACCTCTGTGTCAAAACTCCATGCCTAGGGACACCAACCACGCGTTGGGTCGAAGTGGGACTTGTCGATTTACTAATGAACTGGTGAAGTAAATCATGTGTTAGCCTGACGCGTTTGGCTATTACCCCTTGCCCGGGTTGTTGGTAACCAGTAGTCTGGGTACGGATTGAGCTGTAACGACATCTGGTGAAGCAGCAGCACTACCTGTTTCATCACTCTGGTGAACACGTAAGGCGCTGTGCCTAACCCGAACGGGGGGCACCGAAATTTGAATACTTGGCCCAGCTGGGCGATTCGAATGAGATGACAACTCGCTAGGTGCATCGAAATGTGCAGGTAGGCCCTGCTTAAGTCTAGTGGGGCTAGCCAGTCAAAACGGTGGATGGAGAGAAGAACCCTGAATGGTGTCTCCATGTGGAACCGATCGAGGAGCATGTACTGATTCAGTCTGCCTAGGTCCAAAACTGGACGCCTGCCACTTGTAGATTTGGTACTACGAACACATTTGGGTAGAAGCCTGGACTTAGTTCTGGCTGATGTACCCTGTGTATGGTGTCTTTCCCCAGCAAACTGCTACTTCCTGTCTGATTGCTTCCGCCTTGCAGGAGTCCCCTGGCAGTGCCCAGGAGGGGAGACACTGACGGGGGGAAATAGAGATTTCAGCGGTATCCCGTAAACGAATGTCACCACCTGGGAAGGTCCAGGTATCGGTCACCCGCCGTCCTAGGGAGTTGTGTTTTCTGTGCTTGGGGTGCCCTCCGCTTGCCCATGGCAGGACCAACTGGCTAGCGGATTTGATCTGAACCCTCTGATTCATTGCACTCCGAAGCTCCGAGACTGTACCCACCATTCCCTGAACAAAGAGGGTGGAGGATGTCCAGTCTGCGTCACTGAGGTGGGGACGTACCCCGGCTCAGCTTGTCGGCGAAAACACGTGCGTCTGATTCCGAAACACACCGACCGGGTAGCGTTTGGTCCAGTGGGAAGTGGTCCCTAATGTTATCTCCATCCGGGGGCCTTAAGCATTACATCCCCCGCGGCTGACTAATGCCGCCCATCAACACTGTCTGCGTGCTCTGCACCCCACTCCGCACTCAGACGGACAGGGAGAGACGTGCCGACGGGGTTGCTTTGGATCCCGACGCCCGTGATCCCATAAGCATTGAAGCAACCTTAGGTGGTCGCTCTAGGATCAAGGGTGGGGGTATATACATCGTATCACTTGGATCGATGATACTCCGCCTCACCCCGAAACGTGGCTCACCAAGTCATACAGATGGAAGACTCTGAGGAACCGCTCCGGAGTACCGGCTGTATCTGACACGAGCGAACTGCGTCTCCTTTCACTTTAAATATGTAAGAGGGAGCGTGTACGACTGTGCGTCTCATGACAGGGTCGGTTTCCTCTGGGGACGCCCATGGGTCGCTAAGAAAGGAGTCAAAACCCACAGTGGGGACCGGACACAAGGATAAATTCGTTATTGTTGTACCGTTACCGCGTAACGAACCCTAGCTGGCTGAAAGTGTGTGTGTGTGTGTGTGTGTGTGGGGGGGGGGGTGTTCAACGTGTGCCCTGCCCCGAGATCAGAGACTTGGCTTCCAGCACCCTGTTGGCATTCAGTGCCCGAGGCTACAGAGAAGGCCTGGTGCAATTAGCCTGAGCCTCGGCCTCCCCCCAAAATAGTGGGAGAGCCGTGACTGGGAACGGGGGTTCCCCGAAAGAGACGTGTTTGAATGCAAACATGCTTTCGTGTGTCTTCCTGCTTGCCCACCGAGGGAACACAGTGGAGACAGCTCGCTCCGACTGCGTCTGATCTACCCGGCCTGCCAGGGACGCAATTGCCCTGACAGTCCTTCGACCAAGCCCTCAACTCGGAGGCAAACCCGGCGCCGT